TGGGATTGCAGTGCAGCTTCTTGCCACTAGGCCACCAGAGCTCCCCCCATTTCTCCATTTCTAAACCATCCTTAAAGAAAATCATGAATGGAGTCACACCATCCTCACGGTAGTCCAGCAGAGCAACCATGCCATCTGCATTCATGTTTTCACCAATAAAGAACTCCGAGCTCCTGCTCCTGCTCAGCTAGCGCCGCCGTCGTCTCCTTGTCCCATCATGATCATCTACCGGGACCTCATCAGCCATGATGAGCTGTTCTCCGACATCTACAAAATCCGAGAGATCGCGGGCGGACTGTGCCTGGAGGTGGAGGGGAAGATGGTCAGTAGGACGGAGGGTAACATTGATGACTCGCTCATTGGTGGAAACGCCTCTGCTGAAGGCACCGATTGTGAAGGAACCGAAACCACAGTAATCACTGGTGTTGACATCGTCATGAACCACCACTTGCAGGAAACCAGCTTCACAAAAGAAGCTTACAAGAAGTACATCAAGGATTACATGAAATCACTCAAAGGCAAACTTGAAGAACAAAAACCAGAAAAAGTAAAACCTTTTATGACGGGGGCTGCCAAACAGATCAAGCACATCCTTGCTAATTTCAAAAATTTGTTCTTCTAAAAGCAAATAAAACAGATAGATGTTTAATAAGTGTTTTATATTTCCATTTACGAGACTCTATGGGCTATTTTTCACAACTAAAAATCATAGTGATACAAGTAGTTGTATGAAAACAAGTATTATATTTGGAAAACTCTTCAAAAGAAATGAACAGTAGAAATACTCATTAAAGCTGAGTCGAACAAATAATAAATAGTGTGTCAATATTACACTACAGAGAGTTAGTTGGGCATAAGACAACCTAATCAGATACATAAAATCAATAAAAAGGAAAATGCTCTAAAATTAAAGTCTCACCAACAGTAAAATGCAGTGGAACAGACTTGCTTTAGAATGGTACAATTTCAAGGTAATTAAATAATTAATATCTGTCAAGCAGAGCTTAACAAAATTCACACATTAGGATGATAGCTAACTCACTCTACTCCTCTCTATAAAAAGGATAGAATCAGCAGGGATGAATGCCTTTTTAAGATTATCTTTGTGGCTACAACAGCACATCATTCTTAAATAATTGATACCTCTCAAGAGACTAAAGTGGCATTCCTTTCTAAGATCTCTTACTACCACATAATTTTATTTCTCCTTTTAACCCCTAAGAGTCGGTAATTAATAATTTATGCTTTTTGAAAAGGTGTGAACGGACTCTGGAAAGATTTAAGGTGAAAGCAATTAAGTCCTTTTACATAAATTTGTGTAATCCAGAGGTCAGAGCCCTAATACGATTCAAATTAATTTAAGAAGTCAAATTTTGGCTAAGAAATATCTGTTTTTCCAGGCTCTTTGAAATGATTTGAGTGAGTGAGAAGATGACCCATTTTTCTCGTTTGAAGCGGCTAGTTGATTTGAACCGGCAAAGAGGCACCACAATAAAAGTTAAGTGTATGTTAATTAATATTTTAACTGCACATGTTATTTCTACTATGCTTAATTTAAATATCTGTTTCCAAAAACATTCATCAAATACCAACTCTAAATCTATTAGATCAGTTCATTGTATTCATTTCCCCCTAAATATTCTCTTCTGTTTTGCCTCTCTAGCCCTGTTCGGCTTGTTTGGGTTTTTAAAAAAAAAAATAAAATACCCAGTTTCTAGGGGTTTCTGAAGATGATAAATCAAGCATGCTTGTTTTTCTTTGTAAGACAATTATGCTATACATTATTTTCCTCAAGACTGATTTTGAAATTCAAGAAAAGAGACATTTGCTTAAAATAAATATGTGAGAGTGCTTCATATTTTAAAAACTCACAACTATTCTTTTATTCTCTCAGATGACTGAAGTAGGTGGAGTTACTATAATTAGTCTCATTTCACAAGTAAGAAAACTGAGGCAAGCCCATTTAACTGGTTTGCCCCTTAGGTAAAATGGAAATGATTCTTTGTAAGCTCACACACATCATAACATCATAAAGGACAGCCTTTTATAAAACTATTTTAATTTACTAATCTCTGATCTCATTTTGTCACCAAATCCATGAAGCATCTAAACTAGAGATTATCTTCCTTTTAGAAATTGGAAACTGAATCTCCGAAAGGTAAGAGATTTCCTCAAGGTTCGTGGTAAAGTGTCTGAAGCACCACCAAAATGCAATTCTCTTCAATTCTAGATTTGGGTTTTTTTCTTGTTGGTTTTCCCTGTTGCAGTGCTCAGAAATTTCTATTTATCATGGTTTTTTAGAGTCATTTTAAAGTTATGTTGATGGTACAGTAAGGAGTTCCGGTGATATGGTGCATTATTTGTGCTGGTAACTAAAAGTTCACTGTTAAAATCAGCTGTTTCCTGGAAGAAAGATGGGCTTTAGTCAGATGCCTCAGAACCCCAATGAAGGCCACGACTCCAAGGCAGTGAGTTTTGGTTTGGTGGTGCAATTCTAAGCACTTGACTGCTATCAACAAAGACTGATCTGAAGGAGAAAAGACATGACAATCTGCTTCCATCAGGATTTCCAGCCTGGAAACCTGTCATGGACAGACAGTTTCTAGCCTACCTCACATGGTTAATGTTAATTGGAAACAACTCCCTTAAAAAGATCAGAAACAAAGTAGTGTGGAGGGCTTGTAGACTTGGAAGGGAACATTGTTGCGCCTCGTGTCCCTGAAACAGGAAGTTTGGATTCATTATTTATCAAGCAAATTTTTTTTGTTACCAAAAAGGGAGCTTTAGGAATGAATATGAAACAGTAGTGTTACTGTAAAGTGGCCTCAGACTCCTGTCAACATCTTTACCTTTCTGCAGTAATCTTTTTCTTCAGCTAGAACTTAGAGACCTATTAAGAACTAACCTATGGTCATGAAGACAATACATTTTGTTTATTGGGGAAAAGATAGAAAATTAAAAAAGGACAGAATAATTTGCAAATTTGAAAATGTTGCCCTTTGTTTTTCTGAAATTGAACTGGGGGTAAACAAGGAGAGCTTTTTGGTAACTCAAAAAGAGACTGATACTGCCACCTTGTGTTATTGTCGAAAAATGCTCTGACTCCCAAAGACAGATCGAGAATAGCTGGAATGGGGAATTTTATCTTTTTCTATTATATATACATTAATAACAGCCAAAAGTTTTTGTTGATTCAGGTACTAGTTATGCATTCGACTACATTCTACCAAAGGAGCTATTGTGTTGACAGTAAGGGTTGTGCTGGTAAGCCAAAAATTACCCTGCAGAAAAAAGATGGGCATTCTCCTCTTGTGCGATTTACAGCCTTCAAGAACCTGCTGGAGGATAAGCTACAGATCCATTCTGACTTCGTGGCAATAAGTGAGTGACTATGTATCAAAGCCTCTCCTAGGAATTTGGCTATGGAAGGAGGAGAAGCACACACCACAAATTCCTGTCCTCACTGAAACTTTAGACTTTCATTCATCTTTGCATGAACCAGCTTTCTCACTTTGTAGATAGGGTTTATGAGGGCCTGGGAGGTTAACTAACTGGTCTAAGTAATGCTAGGAAAGGGCAGCTAGATTTGAGGCCAGAAAGTCTGATATAAAGCAACTAAGACTAACCATTAATTTTACACTGAATAAATGCAGTCCTCTGTCTCAGACACACAAGAGAAGGAATAATGTTTTCTAAAAGTTGTACTTTAACTGTCAGTGTCTGGAGGGAAGACTGTGGGTGAGTGTGTGTGTGTGTGTGCACATGAGCACACATAATGTGTATCCATATAAGAATATTTTTACTCACTGCACACATATATGTATTCACCATAGACATATTTAGATGTATAAGTGTTATTCAGGTGCAGATGACATAACCTTACTTGCTGAAAATGAGGACTTGAGGTGCTTCATGCTGAAGATCAAGGAGTCTTCAGTATGGATTACATCTCAAAAAACAAACAGAAACATGGATGACATCTCAACTTCAAGAAAATGAAAATCCTCCCCACTGAGCCAGTAGGAAACATCATTCTTTTGTTGTTGTTAGGTGCCATCGAGTTGAGTACAACTCATAGCGACCCTATGAAAAAAAGATCTGAACCTAGTCCTGTCTTGCACCATTCTCACACTTCCTGACACACAAGAGCCCATTGCAACAATCATGTCAATCCGCCTGTTTGAGGGTCTTCCTCTCCTTTGCTAATCCTCCACTCTTCCCAACATCATGTCCCTCTCCAAGGAATAGCACCTCCTAGCAATATGTCCAAAGTATGTGAGGCAAAGCCTCATCATTTTTGCCTCCAAAGGGCACTCCGGCTGTACCCTCTCCAAGATCTATTAGTTCTTTTGGACAGCCATGGGATGTTCAGTCCTCTTCTCCAACACACAGCTCAAAGACATCAATCCTTTTTCTGTCATCCTTATTCATTGTCCAGATCTTGGATGCATAGCTAGTAATCAGAAAGACTATGGCCTGAATCAGACACACCTTAGTTCTCAAACTGACATCAATGCTACTCAATAATTTGGAAAGGTCCCTAACTGTAGATTTTCCCAGTGCAATGCATCTCCTTATTTCCTGACTGCTGGCACCAAGGGTTTTAATTGTGAATGCAAGCAAGCTGAAGCTACTGACAGTTTCAATCTCCTTTCCATCCATCATGACATTTCCTATTGGTCCAGTGGTAAGAATCTTTGTTTTCTTGATATTGAGATACAATCTATACTGAAGGCTGCATTCCTTGATCTTCTGCAACAAGTGCTTCAAGTCCTCCTCACTTTTAGCAAGCAAGGTTTTGTCATCTGCATAGTACAGGTTATTGATGAGTCTCCCTCCCAATCCTGATGCCACATTCCTCTTCATGGAGTCCAGCTGCTTGAATAATTTGTTCAGCATATAGATTGAACAGGTATGGAGATAGAATACAATCCTGATGCACTTCCTTCCCAATTCCAAATCATGCAGTGCTCCCCTGCTCTGTTTGCACAACAGCCTCCTAGTCCAAGAATAGGTTCCTCATGAGCACAATCAAGTGCTCTGGGATTCCTATTCTTCTCAATGTCAGCCGCAACTTTTCATGATCCACACAGCCTTTGCATAGTGAAAAAAAAATCCCACAAAAAAAAACATCCACCACAAATAGACATTCTTCTGGTATGCCTTACTTTCAGCCAGGATCTATGTAACATTAACAATAATATCCCTAGTGCCACAGCCTCTTCTAAATTCTACTTGATCTTCTGGCAATTCCCTATCTATGTACTGTTTCAGTCATTTTTTAATAATCTTCAGCAGTATTTTGCTTGCATGTGATATTAATGACATTGTTTGATAATTTCCACATTCAGGTGTGTTTTTTTTATGGGAAAAATATTGACATTTTCAAAGAGTTCATCTTAACTTGAATCAATATCCTTGGTACTAGCAGTCAAAAGATCAAGATATGTATAGCATTGAGTAGTCTGCTGTCAGGGACCTCTCCAAATTACTGAGGAGCAGTGATGTCAATTTACAGACTAAGGTGCAACTGAATCAGCCCATGGCCTTTTCAATCACTTGCTATGCATCTTAGAGCTGGACAATGAATCAACATGATAGAAGAAGAATCAATGCCTTTGG